TGAGTGTATGAAACTTGGACTTGAATTCGCCCAGAATCTTGCAAATAAAAGGGGTGGGACATGTCTTTCTAGTTCTTATCATAACAGACGTACTCCGCTATCTTGGAAATGTTTTAAAGGACATTCATGGTTTGCTCGAATCGATAGTATTCAAAGAGGGACTTGGTGCCCACATTGTGTAGGTAAGTCTGAGAAACTTGACATTGAATATGCGAAAGAATTAGCACGTAGCAGAAATGGAGAGTGTTTATCCGATGTTTACATCAATTATACAACGCATTTACACTGGAGATGTTCCAAATCACATGAATGGCTCGCTTCCCTCAATGGTATTAAGAACAAGAACTATTGGTGTCCATATTGTGCTAGCACAAAACTTGATATTTCGGTAGCCAAAGCTATTGCATATAGTCGAGGAGGGGGATGCTTAACAGATTCTTATACCAATTGCAAAAGCCAGTTACTCTGGAGATGCAATAAAAACCATCAATGGTATGCTACCCTTTCTCATGTAAAAAATGATAATACATGGTGTCCATATTGCTCTAAATATAAACGTGAAAGATTGTGTCGAAAAATTATGTCAAAATATCTTGGACCGCCATCTAAGATACGTCGACCTGATTTTCTTAAAACTTTAGATCACCCAATTGGATTAGAACTTGACATTTATTACCCGCAATATGGATTTGCAACCGAAGTACAAGGAGAACAACACGAAAGATATATAGAATTCTTTCATAATGGTGATCCCAATAATTTCGCTAAACAACAAGAGCGGGATCAACTCAAGAAAGAATTATGCGAAGAGAATTGGATTGTTTTAAGATACGTTTGGTATTATGAAGACCCATATAAAGTTATTCCAGAGCATCTACGAGAATTGGGTCTCATTGAATAGAGTTAAAACTTCAAATATTCATGATGAATACAACAAAATAATTGTTTTTTTTCATAATACATGCACTTAATTTTTCCGCAGGAGGATGATCCACTTGCAATTCGGTTAAGATTTGATACTCCACTAGATTTGCAGAAAGAGATAGAATTACGGCAAAAGCGCAAAATAAAAAATGCATTACCTGTGGAGCCCACGAATTCTGAA